ATAACTCACATTAACAAAAGCTCTTGGGAGTCCTGAATTTTGAGAACACAAAGGAGTCCTGATACTACAAAGTTTTTTAATTTTTTTTTTTTTAGGGAAAGAGGCTAGATCAGCCGTGGGCAAACTACGGCCCGCGGGCTGGATCCAGCCTGTTTGAAATGAATAAAACAAACAAAAAAAAAAGACCGTACCCTTTTATGTAATGATGTTTACTTTGAATTTATATTAGTTCACACAAACACTCCATCCATGCTTTTGTTCCGGCCCTCCGGTCCAGTTTAAGAACCCACTGTGGCCCTCGAGTCAAAAAGTTTGCCCACCCCTGGCTAGATTCATCAAATGTGTAAAATTTTAAACTTTAATCTGTTGCATATTTATTTGAAATATGGAGTACATGCCTCTAGTTTCTTTTCTTGGTTGCAAGGACATGTCACTGGCCTTCTATATTATTACCCAAATGGGCAGAAGATTCCTGTATTTGTTTTAAAGATTTTTATTTCTATTTAAGATTGATAGGGTTGCTATCCGGAACTAAGATTTGGTTAATGGTTATTCCAATTAGCACATTCATTCTTTTTTTTTTTTTTTTTTTTTTTTAATATATATTCCGTTGAGAGGAAGGGAGAGGGATAGAGAGTTAGAAACATCGATGAGAGAGAAACATCCATCAGCTGCCTCCTGCACAGTCCCCACTGGGGATGTGCCCAAGGTATATGCCCTTGGCTGGAATCAAACCCGGGACCCTTGAGTCCGCAGACTGACGCTCTATCCACTGGGCCAAACCGGCTAGGGCAGCACATTCATTCTTGATATCATTCTTGGTTGTGAGCTATTCATGCAGTTTTCTGAGCTGTTTAGCAAGGTAAGCTACTTTAGGGTTGTGGTGAAATTTCACTTTGCTGAACTACCATTTTCTCTGAAGTCTTTACACTAGGCTGAATCTGTCTGCTGTTAGAGTCTTCCTGCTATTCATAGTGATTTTCTAGTCAGTTTACAACTTATGAATGTATTTGTGAATTAGTTGTTTGCAACAGTATATGAATTACGGATGGGTTCTATAGTGCCATTAGTAGTATGGACATAGTCTCATTGTGGACTGTTAACATCTTCCTGTCGAGAATTATATTTTAACTCCTAGAAATCTGGTCAAATACATTTATCCGTTGCAGTCCCATGGTGGCAAGAAACTCCCCTCTCCCCTTACAATAGAAAGAGGAGTGTTAAAGTTTTAATAAAATCAAGAGACACCTAATTCTAAAGCTATGCTCAAGAGACACAGGTATCTTAGGCACCCCAAGTGGGTAGAGGATGGTGGGGAATACTCTCAGAGCAGGTAAATATATTTAGCAATGGTTGGGGAAAAAAGAAAAGGCATTCTCCTTGGAGGTGATATATTCTTCTTTTGTGGCTGTTGTTAAAAAGTAAAGGATATCTTAAGATGGGTAGTCCTAGGTTGGGAAATTCATCTATATAGGGTTCTGTTTTATTGTTCTCTTATGTGTGGGTATTGTATGAGCTGAGCTCAAGAAACAGAATGACAGGCCTATTGCGAAGGTTGACCTTACAGATTTATGGGTCAGAGCTTGAATATAGAAGGAAATTGATCAACTCCAGGGGCAGTCATGATCAGGAAGAGTAGTGGAGGCCAGGGGAGTTTTGGAATATGCAAATTGTTCATAAGGGTCCCAAACAAATTCACCTCACAGGTGATAGCTGGCACAGTTCAGTCCAAGAATGCTGTGATTCAGCCTACTGTTCTAGAGTCTCTAGCAGGAAATAAAGACTTTTAAGACTGGTATCCAGTATAGGAAGCCTATACAGCAGAAATACAGAATCAGGAGGACTAGGGGGACACAGAAGAGGCCAACATTGGAGAATTAGACTTCGACCTGAGGCTGAGCTCTTTGCCTTCTTTCTGCCCATGGGCAATATTTACCCCTTGGATTGAGGCAAGGCTGAATTAAAGGAGAAAGTACAGTGATTATAGTTGTCTGCTGGAATGACAGGCCTACCCAAGAAATACAGCAATGTGTTGCTTACATGCTGAGAAGTTGGGATACATGCTGAGAAATGACTTGTTAGGCAATTCGGTTGTTGTGTGAACATCATAGAGTGCACTTGTACAAACCTAGGTGGTATAGCCTACTTACACACCTAGGCTCTATGGCAGGGGTGGGCAAACTTTTTGACTCGAGGGCCACAATGGGTTCTTAAACTGGACCGGAGGGCCGGAACAAAAGCATGGATGGAGTGTTTGTGTGAACTAATATAAATTCAAAGTAAACATCATTACATAAAAGGGTACGGTCTTTTTTTTTTTAAGTTTTATTCATTTCAAACGGGCCGAATCCGGCCCGCGGGCTGTAGTTTGCCCACGGCTGCTCTATGGTCTAGTCCAGTGGTTGGCAAACTGCGGCTTGTGAGCCACTTGCAGCTCTTTGGCCCCTTGAGTGTGGCTCTTCCACAAAATACCGACTTCTGCGCATGGGCCACGAAGTTTCAGTCACACTGTACATGTGTGCCCGCACATGTTATTTTGTGGATGAGCCGCACTGAAGGGGCCAAAGAGCCGCATGTGGCTCACGAGCCGCTGTTTGCCGACCACTGGTCTAGTCTATTGCTCCTAAGCTACAAGCTTGTATAGCATGTTACTGTACTGAACACTGTAAGCATTTGTAATATAGTGGGAAGTACTTGTGCATAAACATATCTAAACAAATGATACAGTAAAAATAGCATCCTATCTAATAAAGACAATATGCAAATTGGCCATCACTTCACGAAAAGATGGCGGTGCCCACAGCCAATAAGAAGGGAATATGCAAATTGACGTGATAAAGGTGGCAGTGGCAGTGGCCGGGCGGGGATGCAGGCATTCCACCCCTCCCCGGCCGCGCCCAGCCTCTGGGCAGTGCCCATGGAGCGGGAGCGGCCAGGGTGGGGTGAGATGCTTGCTATGAGGGGGGACAGAGGGGTGGAGGGAGCTACAGGAGGGTGGCAGGGCTGGAGCGAAGTCGGAAGGTGGCGGCCAGAGTGAAGGCCTGGGTCCTGGGTGCCAGAGGGAAGCCGGTGCCGGCAGCCAGGGGAAGGAAAGCCTATTCTTGCATGAATCTTCGTGCATCGAGCCTCTAGTATAAAAGATAAAAAGTGGTATACCTAATAGGACACTTACCATGAATGGAGGTTGCAGGACTAGAAGTTACTTTGGGTGAGTCATTGAGTGAGTGGTGAGTGAATGTGAAGGCTTAAAATATTACTGTACACTACTGTAGGCTTTATAAACACTGCACACTAAATTTATTAAGAATATTTCTCTCTTCAATAATAAATTAATCTTAGCTTACTATAACTTTTTAACATAAACTTTTATTTATTTTTAAATATGTTTACATTTTTATTGATTTTTAGATAGAGAGTAAGGGGAAGGGAGAGATAGAAACATCAACGAGAGAGAGAGACATCCATCGGTTGCCTCCTGCACAACCCCTACTGGGGATCAGGCCAGCAACTGGGCATGTGCCCTAACTTGGAATCGAACTTGGGATCTCTTGTCTATGGGACGATGTTCAGTCCACTGAGTCACACCAGCCAGGCTAAGTTACAAACTTTTAAATTTTAACTTTTTTACTCTTTTGTAATAACAGCTTAAAACATAAAAATAAAGTTATACAAATATATTTTCTTTATATCCTTATTTTATAAGCTTTACATTTAACATTTTTTATTTTGATTCTTTACTTTTTAAGCATTTTTGTTAAAAACTAACACACACACACTAGCCTAGACCTACACAGTGTCAGGATCATCTGTATCACTTATTACCTCCACATCTTGTCCCACTGGGAAGTCTTCAGGGGCAGTAACAGGCATGGAGCTGTCATCTCCTTTAACAATGCCTGCTTCAGCTCCAGAAAGACCTGCCTGAATTCTTTTTTTAAAAAAAAAGATTTTAAAAATATATATTTTAATTGATTTTAAAGAGGAAGGGAGAGGGAGAGAGAGAAATATCAATGATAAGACTCATTGATGGGCTGCCTCTTGCACACCTCCTACTGGGGATGGAGCCTGCAACCTGGTTATTTGTCCTAACTGGGAATTGAACCATGACCTCCTGGTTCATAGGTCGACACTCAACCACTGAGCCATGCCAGCCAGGCTGGTTTCTTCTTGAGGAGGTGTCCCTCTTTTCAGAAGTATATTCATATTTGTTTGCTTGATTTTTCTTTTTTAAAATCATACATTCACTTGTAAGAAGCTAATGTACCATAAACATTTCCTCTGTATTAGTGAAACAATTCGGTGTTGAGGTCCATGTTTTCAAACTTTTGAGGAGCTCATTGGTCTATAAGAGTTTCTGCTAAACCCTTCACTATGGATTTTCTTTGGGTTTCTTCTTATGGGATCACTATATATGCAGTTTCTTGTTGGCCAAAACGTCATTATGTGGCACATGACTGTGTTAAATGATTGGATAGAAGTAAACAGGGGAACAACTGGGTTCCTTACGCAAGAGACACGAGGTATCATATTATCTACCCACTAAATATCCTGTAGGCCAGGGGTCAGCAAACTTCTTTAAAGTACCAGATAGTACATATTTTGGCATTTATGGGTCACACAGTCTCTACTGCACCTGCTTAAGTCTGCCATTGTAGCATGAAAGCAGCCATAGAAAAATGTGAAAATGAGTAAGTAGCCATGTTCTTATAAAACCATATTTTTGGAGACTGAAATTTGTATTTCATGTAATTTTCACAGGTCACTAATTTTCATATTAGTTTTCTAAAAACTTTTCAAAAGTTTTAAAACTTTTTTTTTAATAGAAAATTTATTCTTAGGTTGTGGTATACCTAATAGGGCACTTATGTCCTGTGGGATCTAGTTTACTGACCCCTGTTTTAGGCAAATAAATGACTGTAGTTATGATGCAGAAAGCTTTGCATTACTGAAATAGTTGTTCTCCAGGACAACGCTGTTGGTGACACTGTCTTGTTTTATAGGTGACACAGATGATAAAAATCCGTTCGAGAATTTATATGTGACATCTGCAGCAGGTTCATATCTCTCAGCTATAAGACAAACTGGATACTTCGTAAAGATTTTCATCTGTTATGCACAGAGAGCCAAAATCCGTTACTGAAATTGTCTGGGTGAGCTGCCTGCTGGGTCCAGTGATGCACTAGTAGACAAAGAAGTTGAAAAAGAAGGCTGACTGGATGACTGGCAGAATGTGACACCAATATGGCATCAAGAAGCCCTGCTATGAGTCCAAGGACTTTGACTATGACTAAATAAAAATGACTTCTTTTTTGGTGGGGTGGGGGTGAGGCTGGTTGAAGTGAATTTGATATTTTCTTGGGGAATGTGTAATGTATTCTCATTCCATAGTGATACATGGTAATTGCCTTGGTAATCAGTCTTTAAAGTTCATATATATATATATCGAAGTTATGTAGTTATACTTTTTATTATTGGGTTCTCTTACCACAAAGTAAATACTGTAAAGACAAACATTTGCTTAACTTAAAAATGTTAACTTAAAAAGATTGATTTAAGGACTATGATTTTCACATAGAAATTTTCACTTAGGGCATTTTATTTATAAAAAGTTACTGTACCCCGAACTTTCTAGGAAAACATCCTTTTCTGTAGTTTCTTGAAAGTCAGTAGGAAATCATACTGTACAGTATTAATATAGAACAGTTAATAAATTAATAACCATTAAAAATAACTAATAACTTCAGATCTATTAACTAAATTTACTTAAAATAATTTAAGGAGTGGGTGTGAACTGGAAATAAACCTATGTATTTACTAGAATTATTGAATCACAAGAAAACTAGAACATCAAAGTATTCTCTAAACCAAATCAGTATTTTATTTGGTTAGAGTCCCTGCTTTTGGCATCCATCTATTTAGATTACTTATAGAGGCTTTTAAAGCAGTTCTGGGAAATGAGGTGGGTAGATTTTCTCAAAGTTGATTCCCATTTATTTTCTCAGTGAATCTTGAACATTTTTTTCTTCTTAGTATTCAAGAAAAACTCTGTCAGTCTAGGATATAAAACATAGGTTACATTATATATAGTTCATACAGTTTATTTACAAACAGAAAAAGATTCCCTCTTGACTTACCTTGAAATCTTTATTCAAGGCCTGTACCATTCAATTTGTCAGCTTGCTGCTGCCACTACAGCTCGCTTTTGGTCAGAGTGCAGTGAAGCTAACAGCCATTCTGCTGGGAAAAGAGTTCCCGGTTGCTGAAGAGTGGAAGTCACACACATCTCATTTACAAGTCAGATCAGAGATCAGAATCATACAATAGCTTTATGTGGAATTGATTTCATTTCATGGTTTTTAAGCTGTGTTTTTCATTGAAGCAATGCCTATAACTAAAAGGTGTGTTGTAGCATTTGAATGCCTTAAATTCTTTTGAATCTGGAATAAAGGGATGTTTAGGTCCTAAAACTCAGGGATTTTGAAATGAAATGCTCTGTCATTCATTGATTGTGCCATAATTGAACTGCCCTGCAGATTTTTATTTGGGATTATTGTAATTAATATTTGGAAAACTTTATTATTTTCAAATATGTTATTTTAGGAAAGACTGTGTGTGTGTGTGTTCGTGTGTGCGTGTTCTTAAATGAAGCAGCAAACACTGTTTTACCTTGTAAATAGGCTTTACTTAATAAGAAATATAGCCCTAACCGGTTTGGCTCAGTGGATAGAGCATCAGCCTGCGGACTCAAGGGCCCCAGGCTCGATTCCGGTCAAGGGCATGTACCTTGGTTGCAGGCACATCCCCCGTGGGGAGTGTGCAGGAGGCAGCTGATTGATGTTTCTCTCTCATCGATGTTTCTAACTCTCTATCCCTCTCCCTTCCTCTCTGTAAAAAATCAATAAAATATATTAAAAAAAAGAGAAATATATGCATTTAACATTGATAGGCATTTAAACCAGGAATTACGTTGTGGTTTTCTGGGGAGAGGACATAAAATAGAGCACTTTATAGCTTGCCACTATTATTTTTTCTTAAAGTAAACCTTTTAAAAAATATTGCATAAAGAAGAATGCTTAAATATAACAATTGGTTGCCGGTATTCTTATTTTCCTTGTTCTTACTGAAATTGAGAAGATATAAAAATGGATATGGAAAACTAGCTCCCTGCAGCAAGGAAGTGCTATTTATTGGAATTTGAAAACATTGTTGCAGGAAAGCATCTGAGTTAATCTTTTAGATAATTGATTTGAGTATAACCAGGAGAAGAAAATCCAGGTGTTTCAAACTAGTTTTGTATCAGTAGTCAAAACATTTAGTTTTATCCTTTCTCATTCCCACCACGTGGTGAGGTCTCATTAATTGATTTCTAGTATGACAAATTAGGATTTAGACAGTTCTTGACAATTCATCAGTTACATATTTTTGTCCACTCTATTTTACATAGGACTTGTTTAGTTCTATTTATAGGACACGAGAAAGGTAGTGATCCTGACTTTTATGGTCTTCAAAAAAGATTTTTGAATAAAGATTAATGTAAAGTAAGGATGTAGTAGTCATACTGTGTTTATTTTAGTAAAGCAGTGACAGTTTAGGTGGTTCCTTCCTTCACTGCTTTTCCAACCCTAACTTCATAACCGCTGGTTAAAGCTGCTTTTTCTTACAGCGAGTGGGAAGTAATTTTGTGAATGGAGAAAGCGAGCCTATTGTAGACATTGGAAAATGAGTGGAATGTAAAAGGGAGAGTAGGATTATAAATGGCAGTATGATCATACATGAGCACTCGTATTTCGGATTGATAAGGGTGCTAGAGTGAGGATATCAGTGGAACGCAGTGGTTTATTATTACCAAGTACTATTTATTGAAAGCATCCTATATACTAGACATTGAGTAAGACACCTTGCGTAAGTTACTTCTAACTCTTCCCACACCTCGAAAGCAGATAAAGTTACCTCAATTTCCTGATGAAACTAGAAGCTAAGTGGTATACCCAAGGTTTCAGAGGAAGAAGATAGTCCCTACAGCTTGTGGCTGATTTTTATACAGTGACCTTTACTCTCCAGTGATTGATAAATGAATGAATAAATAAAAATGTGAAAGGCCAGTATACATTATAGGAAAATTTTAAGATAAAGGCTTATAATATGAATGACTTCATGTTGGTGGTATAGAAGGATGTGGGCCTATTGATATATATGTGATTATTTTATCTAGACTCTAGAATTCTTCCACTGTCTTTTGTGTTGCCTTTGATATTAGTATAGTATTTCATAGCTGTATTTTCAAATATAATTGATGCCACCATACAAAAGTCTTATAGGAAGGGCCCGTGATAATGAGCTACTACAGCAACTTATATGCAGTCGATCAAGAGCTGAATTGGATTCAGCTCCAAACAGCATATATAGAAAAAGTTCTTGAAAGCAGTCTGAAACAGCCAAAGGAGACTACCTAACTGTTTGAGGTACAGGAATAATAATGGTGGATAACGGTGTCATAAAGCCCATTAAAATGAGAACTGAATGTTTACAGGCTTTTACAAGCAGACAAGTATAGCCCTGAACAAAAGATCATCCCTTAGAAAGGATACATTCAGTCATGTGGTTAGGAATAGTGCCTTAGCAGCAGCATTTTTAAATGTAATAGATAATTGTGTAATAAGGCTTTGGAGTCAAATGACCCAATTATGTTTTTTAAAGTTTGGAGTGAAATCATAAGGGATCTTTGGCTTTATCATTCACTGGTCCCATGGAGAAGTGAAGTAAAAGAGGCAGCGCCCTAACCGGTTTGGCTCAGTGGATTGAGCTTCAGCCTGTGGTCTGAAGGGTCCTGGGTTCGATTCTGGTGGAGGGCATGTAGGGCTCAGTTGGTTGCGGGCTCAGTCCCCAGTAGGGGGCGTGCAGGAGGCAGCTGATCCATATTTCTCTCGATGTTTCTAACTATCTCCCTTCCTCTCTGTAAAAATCAATAAAATTATTAAAAAAAAAGAGGCAGTGTTGTAAAGTATTCTAAATGTGAGCAGCATCTTAGTGAGGAACGTTGGAACAAAGACAGTAACACAGTAACTGAAATTGTTCAATTCAAAATGTTAGAAAAAATATTAATTGCTTGAAAATATAGAAAAAAATTAGCAAATAGGTTATAGGCAAACAAGGCAGTTGGACAAAGGGTAAGAAGTAAGGAGGGTTATTCAAGATGAAGTGGTTGGGTGATATTCCTAGATAGAAGTTTTACTCAAAAAAGGAGAAAACTTGGGAAGAGAGATCAGAAAAAGTGATTTAGAAATAGGTATCATTGAAATAGGGTAGTACGCTCCTCACAGACTGCTAGTAGGCAGAGAAAGTATTGACATGAAGTTGTTGTCTTCATATTTTATGGTAGTCAACAGTAACCACCTATTTTAGAAAAGACAGGCTTATTCCTGTTCATTCTGTGAATGATTATTTCTGTTCATTTTATTTTACTATAGGCTTAAATTAGCCTTGTATCCTTGTGACATTGGGTAAACACTTTTAGACTTGGGCTTGTGTTTTAGAATATGATTTAGCTTATTTTAAGTTTATTAGGATTGTTACCAATATATATTCAGCTTTTGGCAAGAGATTACACTTTGCGTTAACTGGGTATCCATAATATCCATAAAGAAGATATCAAATGAATTCTTAAAAAATATATATTTTTATTGATTTCACGAGAGGAAGGAAGAGGAAGAAAGAGATAGAAACATCAGTGATGAGAGAGAATCATTGATTGGCTGCCTCCTGCACTCCCCACACTGGGGATCAAGCCCACAACCCGGGCATGTGCCCTGACCCGGATTTGAACCGAGACCTCCTGGCTCATAGGTCGATGCTCAACCACTGAGTCATGCCGGCGGGGCAGATTTAAATCAGTTTTATTGGTTGTAATTTATATATTAAAAATCCAGTTAGTTAATTTTGACGTGTGTGTAGATTCATGTAACTATTCGCATTCAAGAAATTGAATATTTTAATACCCCTAAAAGTTCCCTATGTCTCTTCGATTAGTCCTTCCCTCCCCTCCCCATAGACAACTACTGTTCTGATTTCTATTCTTGTAGATTTCGCTTGTTCTTGAACTTTATCTACATGGAGCCATAGAGTGTGTACTGTTTTGTACCTGGCTCCTTTTCCTCAGCAGAATGGTTTTGAGACATATTCGTGTTATTGTGTGTATTAGTGGTTCATTCTGTTTTGTTACTGAGTAGTAGTCTATTTTACCACAATTTGTATATCCGTTATTCTGTAATGGACATTTTATTTTATTGACAATTGTGAATAAAGCTGCTACAAACAATTTTTGTATGTTTTTTTGTGGAATGTTTTAATATCTCTGGGTTAAGCATCTAGGAATGGAATTGTTCTGTCATAGGATTGGTGTACATTTAAACGTTAGAAGTTTATAACTTCCAACGTGGTTGTACCATTCATACCACACATTTTTAGTTCAAGTCTGTAAATCTCTACAGTTTGTACTAGTATAGATATTGATGTGTACTAAATGATTTTTCTTTAGCTAGATAGCTTTAATGAGTATTCTTCATGTAATAACAAATCTGGTAGTTTTATGATGCATAAAACTATTTTCAAAAAATTATAATAAGTTATCATGTATAACCTATATACATATAGGTTCTCCCCTCCCATTCCCCAACTGAGTTCCTTTGAAACCTTTTGTAAGCTGAAATGAAGTGAAGAAGCAATTACTATTAAATTAAAAGGGAAAGTCCTCTTTGGATTTCTTTTTTTAAAAAATATGTTTTTATTGATTTGAGAGAGAGAGAGAAAGTGAGAGGGGGAGAGAGAGAGAAACTTCCATGAAAGAGAATCATCAATTGGCTATCTCCTGCACATCCCCTACTGGGGATTGAGTCTGTATCCCAGGTATGTGCCCTGACCAGGAATGGAACTTGCAACCTCTTGGTGCATGGGATGCTCAAACCAACTGAGCCAAACCAGCAGGGCTGGATTCCTTTTGGTTAGTGAAATAGGTACTAATGGAAGTAGTTTGTAAGTGAAGTAGTGGCATAGGCAAACTTTCAAAAAGTGGGGGTACTTGTATTCAATTATTGACTTGCTTTGTTGTACAGAATTTTTTTTTAGTCATCTGAGGATATGTTTTTATTTTTATTGAATTTCTACACACACAGAGGGAAAAGGAGAGAGAGAGAGAAAAACATGGATCGGTTGCCTCCCATACATACTCCCACCAGGGACTGAACCCAAAACCCGGGCATATGCCCTGGCCAGGAATCGAACCTTGAAACCTTTTGGTACACAGGATGATGCTCTAACTGAGCCACCAGTCAGGGTGTTGTACAGAATTTTTAATTTTCATTTTATTTTTTCGATAGTGTATGCTTTGA